TTTTAGTTTTAGTTAGTTGACACCAAAGGAAAGAAAAAGTCTCCCAGAAGAAGTGAAGGACTTGCTTGAGGTGTTTAAATGTTACACCACCCTGAATTTGTGCGTCACAGCTATGAGTCCATGCAAAAAAAAAAAATCCACATTTTTGTTGGTTCCTTGGACAAGGTTAAATTGACATGAACAAAAGGGTCACATACAGAACTTGGCTGTTCTTCCTGGCATGTTTTCAACACAGCCGTTTGTTCGTTACTAATCATTTTTCTCCTCCTCCTCCTCCTCCTCTGGGCTAACTAACTGACATCACTTAACTTTTACCTAATGCTGTCTCTGCTTCTTCGGCGCTCCAGTTCACTGTTGTGCTCAGCTTCTTCAGCACTGTCAGCATGACAGAGCCCTGTAGGCCAGGATCACCTGGTGGCTGTGTGGACACTGTAGTCTTTGTCTCTGTAGTGCATGAGAGGTTTTCCAGTAGCTGATACAGTAGGTGAACCGATCAGCATGTCCTCGGCGGTGGTTTAAGAGATTTCCTTTTTGTTTCATTCCCTTCTATCCGACACGTCTTTACTATTGTTTGTTTGAAAATGTTTTTCACTCTGGGTGTTTCATGTGTATTCTGCAAGAGAATGCCTTCTACAAGCACACACACCTGAGAACATGAGCAGCATCATGTGAGATGACACTGCACAGTGCTTGTTAAATAACCTTTAAATGTAAATAAAAGGAGTTTTTTCTTTTTCCTTTGAGTGACGGAAAATCATGAGGAAGAAAACAGGAATAATGACATTGTGTGGTTGTTTTTATTTATCTCAAAACTCATTTTGAGGAACCACATGATTCAGGCAAAATAGTTGGCAAAGTAAAAACAAAAAACAGGAGTGAAATTTTGACGCTCTTAAGGATTGACATCTTATTAAACGACTCTTTTCTTCCATCTTGATTCTGTCACAATTCAAAGGTTCTTGGTTCTCTTTTAACTGTTTGGATGCTTTTAGACCGTAAGAAAAACCAAAGTTGATGTTTTCTGTCTTTTGAGGAGTTAACACTTTTTACTTCAGTCAGTTCTGAATGACCTTGTTTTTTTCCATCTAAACACAAACACCAAAGACAAGAGGTGAAATCTTTCGCCTTCTTTGATCGGCCTCAGCCAATAACAGCAAAGTTGGCAGAGTCTGAAACTAGAGCGAGACCCATGAGATTTAATGTTGCTGGACTTTTGTAGATGTAGATGTTACAGAACTGAATTCACTGTTAGGAAGAATTCTGACATTTCATTCACTCTGGGTGTAACAAACAGAACAGTGGCTGCATGTTGGACTGTAGCTCATATATGACAGTGACATGTTGAAGTTGGAACTGCTATAAAATCTAAAGAGTTGAATTGACAGCTCAGTACTGTCTTGTTGTGCCGAGCCAAGGTGACAAATGAACGTATCTTTGCTTGTTCCCTGCCAAGGTGACAAATGAACGTATCTTTGGCTAACACCCTGCAGCTTCTTTGTATTTTGTTTTTTGTTTTTTTAATTTGCATGGTGTGGATTTTGAGAAGTGTGTTTCTTTCTCTCTCTACCTCTCTTTTTCTTTTCCCTCACCCCCATCCATCCTGCGTGTGTGTGTGTGTCGTGTCTTTCTAGGAGAGGGCTAATGTTGAGGCTGAGCGCCGGGCCCTGCAGAGCCTACAGGAGGGCTACGCTGAGCTCGAGAACCAGCTTCATAATTGTCCCGAGTCTCTGCGGGAACAGTTGCAGGAACAGCTGAAAAGGGTGGGTCAGCAGTCCAGAATGAGCCTCCCGGCCACACCCTCAACTGCCCAATTAGTCGCCACCCCCCCACCCCCCCATTTTAAACTGATAAACATGAATCTTTGAATCGTCACCGAACACACCTCTCGTAGCTTAAACGTAAACTCCCAGCCTCCTAGCTGCTGTTAGCTGTGGAGTCAAAGGTATGGTCTCCATATGGATGGATTATTACTTAAGGTGGACTGACGGTGTTGTGGCTCAGTGGCTAAAATATTTCAAGACATCATTCTATTTGTTCAGTTCGTTCAGTTCACTTCACACATATTTATCTTCACACATTTCACAGAATCACAACACAAACTTCTCCTCAACCCTCTTTCTATTTCATCATTTCTATGACCATGCATGTGTGATGCCCACACACTCACACTCACAGACAGGTGTAAATGAACACACAGTGGCACCAACCTCACCCCTAGCACGGGACCAACACACACACACACACAGAGAAACAGAAGTCGGTGCTGCTGCCACAGGCCGCAGTAATCCCTCTGTCCCTTCCTCCTTCTCTCCCTCGTCTTCCTCCTCCTCCTCGGCAGCACCTACGTGCTACCAGGCCCTTCAGGTCAACAAAAGTGGCCCATGAGGTCACGTCAGCTGCTAGCGATGCATTGTGGTAAAATGTGACCATGTGACTTAACCCTCACCCCCCTTAGCACTGCACTGCACTGCATGCCCCGATCTGATGTGCATCACCTCTTTGATTTGCCATGGCTCACATAATTATTATAATAACTCCTGACTAATCAATTAACATAGACGCTGACTAGATCCATTGTTTGTCTTTTCTTCACTCTCATCCTGTGACTTGTTTGGTTTACAGTCAGAATATGAAACTTTTTTATTACCTGCGAGGGACTTTAAAAAGGTGAACAAAATCTCTTGTTATCAGAAAATGGTAGACTTGATTTGTCAGCTCACGTCTCTGTTGAAATTATGTTTAAAATGTGGCTTTAGTTTAAATAATCTTTTTAAGCCCAGCCAGGACTTAAGGCAGCTGAGTCAATACATTAAACATATTATATTATCACTAATGTAAATGTGATAGTATAATCTGTGAAAAGTCATCCACAGCATGAAAAGTCTTACTGTAGTTTCATGACTGAAACATTCATTTCATTCATTCATTTTAAACAGAAGTTTAAGAAATATTTGAATGTTTTAGGAAAGGGTTTTTTGGACAGAACCATATTGTTAACATTAAACTGGCTAAAGGTGGAGAGGAATATAAGTCAGATTTAAATCAAAGTGGAAATGTTTGTGTGTATGGCTCCTTCTGTGCTGGCTCCTTCATATTCTGTGGTGTATGCAGTGACCACAGAGCTGTGCTGCAGTGCAGAAGCATGGGTTTCATGGCTGTCTGCTTGACTTGAGCACGAACCAGGGCCGTGCCCTGAAACGATGGTTTTATTTACTGGCTTTTCTAGTAGCAGATTTGCTGGTCTGGTTATGGTGGTTGGCTTGAAAATGAGTAAAGTGAACAATCGATTCTCTGTATGTGATGTAATTTCTGACAATATTCCCCCGGGGCCTCCATCAGGACGGAGAGGCGCTGGAAGCAGGAACCAAAAAGTTTGAGGATCTGGAATTTCAGCAGCTGGAGCGGGAGAGCAGCCTGGAGGAGGAGAGGGAAACCATGAGTCAGCAGTTGGTCCAGGAGAGAGGCGAGTACCACGGCAGCGTGGCTAAGAGGAAGGTGAGGAAACATAGGCTTTTAGCAGTAAGAGATGAAGCTTTAAAAGGGAAAATAATAACCTAAGGCAGTTAATTTATTTTTTTTATTTCTGAGTTTGACTTGGTAAAGTTATTTATTCCAAATTTCTGTTTCTTTTTTTTTTTTTTCCATTACTCAGGAGAAAGTGTCTGCTCTGGAGAACCAGGCCAATCAGCTCAGCCTCCAGGCTTCACAGGAGTGTGAGCGTCTGGCCAAAGACAGAACTCTTACTCTGCAAATGCTCCAGAAGGTACACATCAGTGTTAAACTAACCACAGGTGGATTTAGAACACATGCAGGCTTACGTTAGACTGAGATTCTGATACAGAATAAATACATTTAAAAACAAAAAACAGGGTTCATATTGAATAGTCAAATTGTGTCTCTTGGTTTTTATACAGCTACACCTTTATTTTTATGAAATACAGCAGTAGTTATTACAATAATAGACAGCTTTACCAACTTACTACAATAAACCAAACACATCAATTTACTGCCAGTGGAAAATTCAAGTTCATCTCTGGGTTTTGGCTAACCAAGACAACACTAAAATGGCAGAAAGCTCTGCAAACAAAAGCCAAGCATGAGTTTTCCACCTTTTAGATACTTGACTAAAGTGTTTAATTTCTTTAGTGTTACCACTTTCCATTACTGTACATTAACGCTTCACCAACTGTGTTTGTCCAGTTCTGTACACATTAAATTATCTGGCGCCAGACGTTGAGCAACAGTGGAGGCAGCCAACAGAAGCAGTGTTTATTCTGCCAAAGGTTTTTGTTTGTTTAAAGGATCTCAATAAAGCCAAACACAGAGGATGGTGGTGAATAATAACTGAACTCATGTCTCAATCATCTTAAGATATACATATATGAAACATGTTTGAAAATACAGAAAAAAAAACTCAGATTATTGTAGAGATTTTTGAGAGATGTATTGAGCTGATGGAACAATGTTTTTTTTTATTCATATTTCAGGAAAAGGAGAGATTGGTGGCCCTCGAGAAGAGATACAACAACCTGACAGGAGGGAAGAGCTTTCCCAAGTCCTCCACCGCCATGAGAGAGGTGAGAGAAGAAGCTCAGTGTGTGGGAAGTGAAACAAAGTGTTCAGTCATGTTCACTGCTATGACCCTGAGGAACCAGCAGAGCTTTGATGACTCACAGCTGATTCTCACCATGTTTTTATCCTGTAGTGCTGTACTGATACGTTGGATATCACACACACACACACACAGTGTGGTGTCGTACTGTTCTAATGAATGCTGATGAAAACTTTACTCTCAAAATCTTAGTGAGAGTCTTAGTGAGAGTAACTTCGTGCCGATCACCGTATGCTCTGTACATTTAGCAGCATATTAAAGAGCAGCGACCTCACCAGTTCACAGAAACCACACGCTGTGCCTTTTCATTTTACAGTGGATCATAGAAGACCTCAGCTAATCGTGAAAACAGCACGTGTTACCACGTATTAAACCCCCTGTTTGTAATTTGTGGCCAGTGGCTTAAAGGAAAACTCTAATGGACCGCCCTTTTATCCACTGTTAAACTGCTTCCCTTTTTTTTTTAGATATAAAAAATATTTGAGAGTCAATGATCAGGAAACTCATGTGCGGAAGATCCTCCAGACACGCTCATCTGACTTCTGGTTTCAACTCAGTGAAAAACTGCTGCAAAAATCACAACTTTACCGTATGCTAAAAAATAAAAATGCACATGCTTTTTTTTTTTGGAAAGCTTTTAAAAGTCTGTTTAAATGAACTGAAGTCAGATGACTGATAAAGCATGTAGTGTTTTTATGTCTTAGCTCAGTGGTTCCCAAATTTGTTACTGCAGTGCCCCTAGTGGACAAGACTAATATTGAGCACTCCTACTTCACAGCTTTTGCTTCAAAACTCTACATAAAACATCATGATAAATATAGTGCTGTAAAGAGTGAACAAGAAAAAAGAACTTTTTTTTAACACTTCATGGCATTTTTCCACTGTGGCTCAATTAAAAAAAAATACTCAAGTTAAAATTAATTGGCCTTGCTGCTCCTCTCCTGCATTCCTCTACTTTGGGAACCACTGTCTTACAAATCTCCCCCTCTGTACTCCCTCTCTGACTAAATCAGGCAGCAGGGAAATCTGATTCACACACAAACTTGTACAGAGTCTCCTGTGGCCTTTCTCCAAGCACTGAACAAAAACGTATCCCTGACTGTTACAACAGGAAATGCTCCACATCAGCGAGGCTGACCTCCTGTTAAAAGATGTCCACTCCTCCAGACATTCCCTCTGTCCAGCCTCTCCTCCTTCCTTACATCCTTCCCCTTCCTGTCAGTTGTACCCCAGCAGCCACACAGAGGTAATCAGATCATCTGTCCCAGCATGAAGCCCTGAGTCCCGCTGCATTGTACACCTCAGCTCAGAGTCACTCATTCACCGTGACTGTCAGTGTCATGTGATGTAGTGTTGGGCTTCACATGGTTCCGTATGTTGTACAGTAACAGTCAGTCGAGTCTTTGCTGAGTCCAGTGATTTAGTGGAAATGACGCTGTGCTCACAATAAAACAAGGTGCTTTTGTAACAGTTGTTTTTTGATATAAAAGACAACAACAAACTTTTTTTCCCTCACTAACTACATCATTGGTTGATGTTGTCTGTGTTGCACGTGTGTCTCTCTTTTTTTTTCTCTCTATCGATAACACTATAGTTTTTGGACTTCAAATACTGACAACACAGCAACCAGACACTGGGTTCAAGTTGGTTGCCCAGGGACACATTGGCATGTAGACAAAAACTTGTCACAATAACAACATATACTATTATGATATTGTTGGAAAACAAACATGTGTCACAATCATGGACTCAGCTGTTGTCGCTTTTTGGTGAGACATGTATGTCTGTGTGTGGGGGGGTTCTGTCTATTTGAATGTACTGGTGTTACCACCTCAGTAGTACTTTGTCCTCACCGATTCTCATCCTGTCTTGACTGTTGTGGGCTGCTAGCCTCAGGAGTATTTGAAGCTGTCGGACGTGTATAAGATGTACGGCGGCGTCAGTCCTGCTTCCCGCGGCCGCTCTTTTTCCATTGATGCAGCGTTAGCGGGCACCAGCGAGGTACCATCACTTCCTGTCTGTTCCAATCCTCCCTGGTGTGTTTAAGTGTGAAACTCCTGTTAGTGACTCCTCATCCCTCTGTTTCCATGTGGTGCTGCTCCCTCTGCTGGCGTGCAGTGAACCACTGGCGTGTGTTGCCCTTGTTTTCCACTCACTGACTCCGCAGCTGTGAGACTGTCCTGTTTGTAATTAATCCCTGTGGTTGGACAATTGTGGCTAACTAAGATGTATTTATTCATCATCAAAATTATTTAATCTGTGGTTTTGTGTTTATTTAAATGAAAAATAATAAAATATTTTATATATATTTTTATATATAACATACTCATACTTTAGGGATTTGGTCATAAAAACTATTGTAATTTAGTCTGTTTTTTTTAAATGATAATATTAAAAAACATATGATTTTGAAATAGATTATAATTATTAATTTAAGATTTTATTTATTTGTTTTTTTTTAGAGTTTTTACATCTGTCAGTTGTCACTGTTGACCAAATCCAGTTAAGTGGTGGATCTGTACTGATCATCAGTCTGTCTGTCAGCTGACATCAGCCAATCAGCTTGAAGATGACATTAACTGATGTCAATCTGAGAAGTGTGTTATTAAAAGTATTCTCATTAAATAAATTAAATAATTTGAGGATATTGGTATACACTATAACTTTTGTCGTTAATGTTTTTAATACCTGACCTCTGTGACACAAAGGTCATGTGTGATATGAGACTAACCATGTGACGGCTCTGAGACCTAACAGTGTGTTGGTGTGACGTATAAATGTTCATCACAGGATGTTGATGGACAACTGACCCAGGTTTTTTGTAGAAATCAAAACACTCCGGCTGATGCTGAATGTCGACCATGTTGTGTGTCCTTTTTGTGAGTGTGTGAGTGTGTCTTTAATCCAGTTGATGTTTCTGTTTTTGCCTTCTTTCTTCACACCTTCATGATACGGCAGCGCTCCTTCCTGACTGTTTCCCACCGTGTCCTGCCTCGCTGATGTAACTTTTTCCTTAACGCTCCTCTCCTTTCCATGTTTGTGTGTGTGTGTGTGTGAAGGAATATGTGACAGTGGGCCAGCTAAATCAGATGTATGGGATGCCTAAAGTGGAGTCGTCCCCTACCTCCCCGCTTCGCCAGCCCCCGCACGCTGGAGCAGTAGACCCCGCCTTCTCCTGCCTTCCCTCTCCTCATGGCTCCTCCCTCTCTCTCTCTGTGGAGGTGTGTGTTGTCCTTTCCCGGTTCCCTCCTGCTTTGATATCCCTGTGTTTCCTGTTTACATTATGTGATGATGATTGACTTTTCTATGAAGAGCCTGGTTGTCTCCAGGTTCTACTGTTGTTTGCTCTGTGCTTCATTGATTAAATGTGATTGATATTTACATGATCAACTCCCTATTTTCAACAAAAATACCTTCAACCATAGGAATGTCAGAAAAGGAACAAAGAAAATGTTTTCTGAAATAATCAGTTGATGAGAAAAAGCCTCATCTTCTCATAAACAGACTCATAGATCAGTCTGTTTACTAAGGATTACAGAAATACTACTCATTATTTTGACAAAAATATACGCTATTTCTTTCTGCAGCTCTTAGAGTTTAGTCGAACCATATTTTCTGTCTTTGGATTCCTTCTAATCAGTTTTTCCTTCTTTCCGTCTCCTGTCATGCTGCTCCTCTCAGTCTGAAGGCAACAGGCCTCAGCGATCCAAGTTAGATTTAGAACAGTGGTATCGGGAGCTGATGGCTGAGTCCAGTCAGCTCAGTTGTGCTCCTCCTCCTCTGCCGGCCAAGTCTCTGTCAGGCCGCAGGCCTGTGCTGCAGGTAGACGGCCTACTTTCTTCATTCTCTTTGCTTTTTTTTTTTCTTCTGCTCTCGTCTTTGTACCTGTGTGTTTTAATGACTGGTGTCTCTGTGATCGTGCTTGTGGCGTGCCTTGTTGTGTAATTTGTATTTTTATTGCTGTGAAAGTTCACCTTTTTTTTAGGTTTTTGTCTAAATGGACAATTTCTTCCCGTCACAAAGATTCACATTTTTTCTTCCCTCATTCGAGAAAATCATTTAACCAAGAAAAAAAGTTTATCATTTTTATATCTGCATTGTATTCTAAAGTAATAGGTTCTGCCATGTATTGACTTTCTAACCCATTAAAGCTCTAGAAATCTCAGTAGAAGTGACAGCAACCCTGAAAAGTCTGAATGGTTCAGACTATTCAGTGTCTTGTCCATAAGGATTTTTTATAGTCAGTAGTTTTATTGAAGTGATTTTAACTAAAAATTATTGCTTCTGTTTTGGTTTGTGCTGTGTGTGTGTGTGTTTGCGTGTGAACTGACATGTAAATTCCAAATGAATTCCAGGTTTTTACAACCGGTCCTTGATGGATTTATTTGTATTGATGACCTCATTGTGATACTGATGATTCAACATGTACAGTTTTTGTCTTAATATCTTTGTTCTATGTGCGTCCTCTCAGGTGTTCCGCTCCAAAGTGGACTGTGACCCAGGAAGTCCAGTTCACCAGCCCAGGTCTGGCTCTGCGTCACCCCTGCACCACGGAGCAGCGACGCTGGGACGCAACGCGTGCTCCAAGGTAGACTGTCCAAACCAATTGTCAAGTCTTGAACTCTGGCCAAAGATTTTGTTTAACAACACTTTTTTTTTACTATCGTTTGCTCCCTGTGGCCCAGCAGAGCCCCCTACTGGTGGCCAACAGCACAGGCAGCTTACCCAGGAACCTGGCTGCGACGCTGCAGGACATAGAGACCAAGAGACAGCTGGCTCTGCAGCAGAAAGGTGAGTGACCTGGACTTTATCAGAGCTCTGTCTGTGGAAGAATCTCTTCCCACTGTTCTGTTTGAACAACTGAATGTCACAAGGCTACGCAGAGACTCTGACATCTTGGTTTAACCACGGGTCACAACCAACGTTTTTGGGCAAATCTTTGAAATAACACAGCCTCTTTACGCCAACATATTTTAGACCTAAGCAGGTAGTGTTTTGTTTTTTTAAATGGACCTTAGTTTACTGGTTAAAGTTCCTTGTGCTTGTATCCTTGCTAACAGCCAACATCTGTGATTGAAGCTCAGAGCCATCAGCTCAGACTAAACGCCAGAACTTAAATGCCACCAGACTTACGAGGTAGGCCTTTGTTAAGAGGCCAAAGTCTGTCTTCCTTTATGTCCCAGCTGGTGGACGTCTTCACACAGATGTTTCTGACCTCTCTGTGTTCTGCGCTCGGTGGATTTAACGCAGCAGTCGTCTGAAAGTTAGACCCAGAAGATCTGTGACAAACAGTTTTATTTATATGTCATAAATAAAACATTCAGCTTCAAGTGTTTAACCTAAAAACATGATAAAAAAAACCCCCCAAAAACACCGACATCAGTGACAGCAGCTGTTTATAAGAGTGAAGAGAGCGCTTTCATCATGGTAGACGTGAAACAAACATGAGTTAGATATTCAGGAGACGATAGTGCCTCCAGCCGTGCACAAGCATATTCTCATTAACTTGTTAGTGTTGCGTATGGTTAAGTGTTAGCCCTGCTCTCCTCCACTGAGCCGTTTGTGTGTGTGTATGTATGTGTATGTGTGTGTGTGTACGTGTGCGACATTAGTGAGCGTCACAGCTGTTTGACTAAATGGATCAGAGCAAAGCCGTCTGCCGCTTTAGCGCCGCTCGCTGCCACCCACGCCTGCTGGGTTTGGAAATGGGAGCTGGTCACACTTGTCGGCGCCGGTAGTTTATTCTCTCCTCACGTCTGTCTGTGTGTTTGTGTGTCTGTCCATGTGTCTTTGTGAATCCGTCTCCTCCCGTGCCGTTGCACCACAGAGCCCCAGACCTCCAGACAGAACACCATAGAGGGAAGCTCAGCAGGTAGCTGGATCACAGAGTCCACCGGTGGATCGTTCCTCACCTTTACCTTGTTTTTCCTAAGCGGGTTCTCCACCTCTGTTTGCCTCCTCCATCTGCTGTCTCTTCATACCTCACACTCAGCGTCTGAAATTAACCACTGGCCTCTGCTGCTGGAGTGACCTGTACTGTAGAAAAATATTATTCAGGTTCAATTTTATTAAAACAAATTCTAACTTATTGACAATATGATATCAGTACATTGTAAAGGCTATATTTTCTAAAAAAAAAAAAAAAAACTTTCATACTACAAGAGGACTAAGGTTAACTGTGCGTAATTATTTGTTATTGAAGGGACTGTTCACATGCAGCATCTTTTCCATGAGAACAACATGTAAAAACACAAATGTCAAAACTGTTGACTTTATTCATCTTCTTCCACTTAATCCTTTTTCAGGGAGGCATATGTATATATAAACACATGGAGACAAAAAACTCTTGACACCTTCACACATATAGTTATGGTCAGTTAAGAGTGGATACTTAATCCTTTTTCAGGGAGGCATATATACAGTATATATATATATATAGACACATGGAAACAAAACACTTTTGACACCTTCACACACATAATTATGGTCAGTTAAGAGTGGACATTTAACCTAAGTTCAATATTTTGAGACGGAGGGAGGAAACCAGAGTAACCAGAAAAAACTGACTGGGAAAAATCCATAAAGAGAGAATGTGAAGGCGAGGGAGGAGGGGCGGGAGGTGAGTTTGTAAATTAAATACATCACTTTGTTTCTGCTGGTTGCAGCAGATTCACAGTCCTCTCACCTGCTCCATCAGATATTAATGTAAACCAAAAATGTGAGTTTTAAAAAGAAATTACATCTTATTTGCATATACGACCCCAGAAGTGTCTAGAAATATTTTGACCCTCCAACAAATACGGTTGGTGACCCCTGTGAATTTAAACCGTCTACTCAGGTGATTTAGACGCTGCCTGTCAACAGACCCTTTTCTGACAAAGGTGCTGTTCATAACGATCTGATTCTTAGTGACTGTTAATTTCAGATTCTGTCTCCAATAACCTACACCCCTCCCCTTCCCTCTCCTTCCCTCCCCTCTCTTCTCATCTTCACGTTTTTTGTCTCCGTCTCTGGTGTGTCATTAACTCTTCTTCTCCAAGAAGATTTCTTTTCATCTTCTTCTTTTATCTGCAGCATTGAATGCTCTTTCTTGTTTCATCAATTTTCTATAAACTGTGCAGCTACTGGAAAATAAAACTTGCATGTCCAGCGTTGGGGTTTTCACCAACCATAGCATTTCTGTCCAGATGTTTCTGCCCAGTATCAGGTCTACACTGCAGCATGGATGTGAAAGGTCGACAGTGGGATAAACACCTTTGTTTTAACTTTCACTCCAATGTTGTGGTGGGTTTTTTCAATTATCAATTATCTTGGAGTTTGTGATTCTGAGAGAGCACATACACACGTATGTGTGTTGCATGGGGTCTGTGGACTGGTGCTGGTTGTGTTTTCAGTGGATCTTCAGAGTTAGAAGCTTGGGGCAACTTGAAAGCTGGTTTGATAGTCTAACGGAAACACTTGTAACCGTGCTGATGGGTTGACGCTTTGCTCGCTGGCTCTTAGCTTGGTCGCTCATTCAGATTTAACTCCAAATCGCTGACACGCTTTACCCATAACTCCTCCCTGCAGGTCATCAGGTGATCGAAGAGCAGCGCCGTCGCTTGGCAGAACTCAAGCAGCGTGCGGCGGCAGAGGCTCAGTGTCAGTGGGAGGCGCTGCACGGCTCTCAGACGCAACTGATGAACATGTCGTCCTCATCGCCCTCGTACACTTCTGTCAAGGCCTACAGCCCCACGCTGGGTCACAGCTCCGCAGCGCACCCACCCATGGTCCACCACTCCATCCTGCACCACCAACCGCAGTCAGCAGGAGAGCAGCCGTACGACACGCTGAGCCTGGAGAGTTCAGACAGCATGGACACCAGTGTGTCCACAGGGAACAACTCGGCCTGCTCACCAGATAACATGTCCAGGTATGACAGAGGACGACGCTTGTTGACATCACTGACTGATCACGGCTCCAGTGGTTTTTAATTAAAATGCAGAAAAAGCATCAAACAAACAGTAAAAACAGTGCAGAAAAAGCATCAAACAGTAAAAACAACAACTGTCAAATAAAGTACTTGTAGTTTAGAATAGTTAATGATCAGTGGATTATTATTAGATTAGTATTTCTGTATAGTATCACATCTAATAACAATTAATTTAGCCTTATAAATTTACCAATAAAATACCAGATATAAGTGGTGAAAGCCCAAATCGTACAAGACAGAATCCTTTGTTTGTCTGACGTCACCTCTACTAAAGTACTTTCTAAATCTGTGTATTGCCCCACATATCAAACACTGGCACCCCCACAGCATACTTTTATTTAAGAGTATCACCAGCTGTCCTTCTCTAATCTTTAATCACATTTTAACATCGTCTCAAGTTGTAAAAAGTGTGTTTTGCCAAAAGCAAAGCGAAGCTTTCAGAAATGTAACAAACACAGAGCGCACTGATACAGATTTTGTTCACGCTGAAACGGATATAAACATTTAATGTTTATATCCCTTTGGAATAATTATCAGTACGACGAGTACACGCTGGATAAATATGGCAACCTGGACATAAGTGTACCACTGCTTGAATGATAACAAGCCTCCAGGCACTAGGTGGCAGCAACTCATACAGTGGTTTGTACAGATAAAAATATACATGTTATCAGGCTTTCAAAAGTATTTCAATTCGTTGGGGTGTGCGTCAAGGGGGGGTGCAAAACACATCTGTCCCTAAGGGGGGGTTAGTGGGGGTGTGCGTCAGGGGGCGGGGGGTGAAAACACATCTGTCCCTAAGGGGGGGTTGATGGAAAATAACCGAGAGCCACTGTTTTAATTCAATAACTTTTCTAATATTTAAACGTAAAGGTTGCATTGACATTAAACCCTGTTTCACCAGTGGGACAGGTTAAATTTGGCTTAAACAAAGAGTTCTCGCGTCGCCCTCCACAGGACGTCTCACTTCTGACCATCTGTCAGCGACAGTGACTCCATCATCACAGCGGGCTCTCAGCTGCACTCGCACTTCACTTCACATTCACCGTCCTCACGAGGCTCATTCACAGAAACACTTAGTGAAATGACTTTTTACTGTCGTCGATATGACGTTAATAGGTTTTGTTCATTAATGAACTATTGCACCGTGATGACATGAACACAGTGGAAGTTCTTCCCTTGGTTTCACTTGGCCTTTTTTAAATTATTAGTTCAGATAAATGTTTTTCCCTGATCCATGTTTGACTGTTTTAGTTAAATATGGTTCTGACTAATAAATGTTTTTCCCTGATCCACTGTTTTAGTTAAATATGGTTCTGACTGTAAAGTAAACAATAGCCTGTCGTCAATGATTCAAAAAGTTGCGTTATACCTAAAAAAATAAATATTCACAGCATCAGAGCGACGGGCTGCGATTTTAAAAATCTACAACCGTACATCGAGAATTAGAGACGTGAGTAAACACCTGAGACATTTGTTGTGCTGGTAAAAGGAGATGGACAGGATATGTCTATATTTCATCAGATTTTCACACAAAAGCATTAATTTTTCAAACCGTTTACCTGCTTGAAGCACTCACCCACTGCAGCCAGACTCGCTCTCTGGGCTCCAGCTCTGAAAGCAAACAAACAGACAGACGATTTGATCCAATCAGTGTCAGCCGTACACACACAGGTCTGAGCGCCGTTGTATAATTAAACAATACTGCGTGGTGCGTGGTGAAGGGAAGTTTTTTGTTCATAACTTTACGTGTCTGTCTTTTCTCTGCATCAAATTGACAGCGTCTGAAATCAAGTTTTTATCGCTTTTTCTCCTCAGGAACTAGTCTCATTATATAGTCATTTTTGTTTTTTACATACCTTAGTTTTTAAAAAAAGAGTAAAATATTACATAAGTAAAATATTATTATATAAAATATGGTCCAAAAACGATATATTGATCCTGTTTAATGATCGTTGCTCTGTGTTGATTCCAGTGTGGGAGCAGCCGAGTCGCTCAAACTAGAAGAGATGGAGAAGATGCTGAAGGAGGCGCAGCTGGAGAAAGCCAGACTTATTGAATCCAGGGTAAGGACCCTCTCCTCCCTGGGAGTGTTGGGAATCCATGCGGAGTGACTAATGGCAGCACATTCCATCTTCCTGTCAATAATTATTTTTAACTAAAGGCTGGTGACAGCAGCTCCATCTTCTTTTCATCAACATGCCGCAGCTAATAAAGATGAGATGATCAACGTAATGGTCTTCTCTGCAAACTAGTTCCCACATTTTATGTTGTGTTTCCTCCATAGAGTCAGTCAGTGAGAGAGATTTGAACCAGCGTCAGTTTTATTATTTAGACCTGTAATGTTTAAGGCTGTGGTTTTTTGTCATTAAACATTAATAAAATTAACCTTTAAAATTAGATAAATAAGTATAATTGTTTTATCCACTGGTCCTAAATCTGAATTCTCTTAAAAACATTAAGCAGCAGTGAGTCTGTGTTTAATCACATATATATACTATATATATTTATATATGTTTATATATATATTATGTATTTTTTTAATCAAAAGATACTTGGTAATAAACTCACTTTCAAATATAAAAAATCTTCTTTAAAAGTAAATGTTTAGCTGTATTTATCTAATGTATTGACAATAGGCAGATTAATATGGCCTGCTCTACACACACACCTAATGATGGAGTATTAAACTGCACCAGAGAATAACCCTCATCTGCATATTTTGTTACATTTATATATAATTTTGCCTGAAATTCACATGACAATAAGCATCTTGTTCAAAACCCACCAGAGTTGCAGCTTCACAGTGGACGACAGCCTGAGTCTGTGTGTGGTTTATGCAATGAGGATGTGTGCACTTGAGGCATTCAGCACATCAAAAATAAAATGTTTAATGAAAACCTTCTCCCCAAGGAGCGTGAGAGCCTGGCTCGTCGCCAGATGCTGGAGGAGGAGAGGAGGAGACGGGAGGAGGCGGAGAAGAGGCTGCAGGATGAAGCCTACCATCGACAGCAGCTGGTGGAGAAAGAAGTCAAGATGAGGGCCAAAAACTTCTCTCAGGTCAGTGAAAATGAGTCTGCAGGACAAAAGGGAACAAAACAGCGCCACCTAATGGCTAGATTTATGGGTGACTGTCTTTAACGTAAGGGGAAAATCTAGACAAAAACACTGCAGGTTTGTAGATCAGAATTTTAAATACTCAAATACTTGATGGACTTATTGATGAATACTACATTCTACTCTGTTCTGTGGTGGACGCCAGGCTCGGCCCATGACTCGCTACCTCCCCATCAGAAAAGAGGAGTTTGACCTCCGCTCTCACATCGAGTCCTCAGGCCACAGCGTGGACACCTGTTACCACGTCATCCTCACAGAGAAGATGTGCAAGGGCTACCTGGTCAAGATGGGAGGGAAGATCAAGTCCTGGAAGAAACGCTGGTTCGTCTTTGACCGCCTCAAAAGGACGCTCTCCTACTACGTTGGTGAGAAGAAGCTGTCGCTTTTGTGTTTTTGTAGTTTGTCATTTGTTAATAAGTTTCATCCATCTGTTTCTCCTGCATCTGAGCAGTCAAGGTGATCCTTTAACAGGATTGATGGAGTTGGCAGATGATTCAGCCTGGAAGATTATTTTTACTTCCTTTAAATGAGTCATTCTGAAAAGACAGAGTGACTTTATTTTTTTAATCAAAAGAATACATATAAAAGTGGAAATATAAAGCACTCAGATATTGGGCCACAGCACAAACCCATGGTGTGAGTTGGTCTAAAATGTTTCCCAAACATTTTACACGATGTTCCACCTCTAAGTCATGGATTCAAAGTTTCTTAAACATTAATTTTCTTCCCCTGATTTGAACTCCTTTTCTTCATTTTATTAATATTTTGCCAGACATATATTTGCCACATATCACTAGAGGGAGCCCAAGTACCGCCAGTGGCGTGCAAACCATAGGTTGAGAACCTTTAATTGAAATCTGTCTATCCTTTAGGCACATTCTACGTAAGAACAATTTCACTTCAGGCCTATTTGAGTTCAGACCTTAGAAATAAGGAAATTGACATTTTTATTATTGTTTTTTTTAACTTTTAGGATTCAGTTATCAATATATTTTTATTGCAAATATTATGGACTATAGTGAGGAGTTGGACACTTCCATCTACAGTTTTGTAATTTTTTAATGAAAAGCCAAAGCCCTTAAATTGAAAGTGTGATGATGGTAGTGAAGTATTGCCGTCTTCTCTGTGATATTAAGTCATCCACTTAAACTGTGGAGCTGGTTGGAGGATGTTGTACTTTTAGTTTACATTTAGTTTTTCCTCATCTCATCAGCAGCAGCCGACTCAAGGGAAAACATTATAGAAGCGCCTGGTGGAAATGTGACAAACAACATTAGGAATGGTCACCCTGAGCTGAAACTGTCTTTTTTTTATTTACATTTCACTGTGTGTGAAATGCTGCAACCACACAGGAGTATCTGTGCGAGCCTGTGTCTGCCGTACCCTGAGCAGGTACAGGATGTAGCTCACACTCAGCCATGCGTGTCATTGATCTCGGCTCCTCCAGCTCTGGGACACTTGTTTGCCCGGGAACCTTTGAAGTCCTCAAAAAGGTTCTGCTTTAAGCTACTTAAAGCGTAGCTTGTTGAAAGTGATGCAGGGCGCAGAGGTGCTCTGAGATGACTTTAACACCTAGTTAACATGCTCAGAGTGTTGCGCTCTCTGAGGACACTGAGTGAGATGCATCACTTACCCTTGTCTCTTGACCTTGGGAAGTCAAAGCCTCTAAAGCAGCCGAGCTCAAACGTCACGAGCGCCGCTAATTCACCTTAATTAGCTGCACCAAGCGGAGTTTTTGGACTAATTTGGATGCGGCGGAATGAGATGCAAATGCAGGGGTTATTTGAATGTTAAAGAGGTCATTAGCAGATAACAGCTGTGCGTTCGGAGCGAGGCGTTGTTCCTCGAAATGAAGAAAACAAAGCTGTGCGTTTCTACCTACTACTCTTAAGTTGGCTTGTGGAGTGTTTGCGCCTGGAGGTAGAAAGGGCTGCTGAGTTCCCCACCGGTTCCTGACTGCAGTTCTGCAGAGGCTGATGAAACAAACTGCAATGATGTACCACAGCAGCGTAAGAATGCAGACAAGTCTGAAAATACAATGAGAGCTCCGCTGGTTTAAAAAAAACAGGGGGAAAAGTGCTGTGCTTGTCTTTCTTCATCCATCATCACCAAAAGGCAAATTGGTCATGATCAAAGTTTGATTCCTGAGCTCTTTTTTTTTTTAATTCACCATATCCTGTCATCTCGTTGTTGTCGTTCCAGATGACATGAGGTTGATGCGCTTTGTATTTCCCCACCAGTACAAAGTCTGCATTTGTCAATTTTTATTTTCATCTCTGACCAGAGCCTTGTTTATTCTCCTTCCCTGCAGACAAACACGAGACCAAACTGAAGGGTGTGATTTACTTCCAGGCGATAGAAGAGGTTTATTACGATCACCTCCGCAGTGCCACAAAGGTAGGATTGTGAAAAACAAAAACACTTTTCCTCACTTATTAATCTTTATTTAAAAATGTTGTTGTGCACATCCAACCCCTTCTGTCCATGCTTAGTAAAGTTTAGTAAAATATGACCAGTGTGTCTGTAACCGTGCTCTCTGAAACTCCACTGAAGCCCGGTGTCCACACTGTGGTCAGGTCATCAGAGAACGCAGCCTCAGGAAGTATGTAGAAATGTGCAGAAACTACACTGCATTCATGTTTGCTGCCAAAATTTCTCTTCCAGAATTTTTGTATGCGATCCCCAGTGTGAAGCTAAAAAAGAAAATGAATTATGACCTGAGTAAAATATCGCTAATTATATATATTTTTTCATTTAAACTAACTTAGGACATACTATAAACTCCACAACAGAAACAGCTGGTACACTTGAATGTTTTTGTACTTTTTTTTGTACTCAAACCTGTTTTTTATAAATATATTTTTGTACTCAAACCTGTTTTTTATAAATCAAAATATCCAGAGGTTTTGTGGAGAGGCAGTCGTCTGTGAAATGCTTTGGTTGTTAACGAAAAAAAAAACAATTAATTGTATAAATTGAAAATAATTAATATAATGCTTCCAAAAAACTGAGTATGATCTTTCTTCAATTCCTTATTAAAGAGTATATCCGCTTCAACTAAACGTGATCCTACTGAATACATTTTGAGTAAACTGTTAACTTATATTTCATTAGATATACTTTCTGTGACATTTTTCTTTGGTGGAGCACTGTGGGTATTTTCTAATAGGTACAAAAACAGGTCTTTTAAAACTCTAATTTTTTGCAGCTTTAGGCAGAAAAATGAATTCACTTCATCAGATTTCCCATCACAAACACTGGACTTCATAGGTGTGTGTTGACAGTTTTATTCCACGTGTGTTTCCTCAGAGCCCCAACCCGTCGCTGACCTTCTGTGTGAAGACCCACGACCGTCTGTACTACATGGTGGCTCCGTCGGCAGAAGCCATGAGGATCTGGATGGACGTGATTGTCACAGGAGCAGAAGGATACACACAGTTCATGAACTAATGGACACGTGTGTGTGCGTGTGACAGGGACAGACTGGACCTCCGTCCTGTTTCCCACTCACTATGGACACATTTCCTACTCCTTTTTTTCTTTTAAAACTCACACTCACATTTTTTTACTCTGCAGGAACTCACCTTCATATTTTCTATGTCGTTCAGTTTGGATTCAAAAAGGGAGTCTTTGAAGGACATGCACACACACACACACACACACACACACACTCTTACACATGCTAATGTATATAAACCAAAATGTAAACCTTTTCAGAAGCCTTTCTATAGTGCCAAATGGAAACCTTGTAGTTAAACTTTTTGTATTATCTCTTGTTTTTTTTGTTTTTTTTGTTTTGTTTGTTTTTAACATATGGACACATTTGCCAAATGACATAATGCCAATGTTTGTTTTTTCTTTTGGAAGTGTTCCATCATGACGATGCTGAGTGTGGACAGACAGACTTTTACAGGACTCCAGGTAGGCTGTGATCATTTTAAGAAATGTCATTACAAATCCATGGAAGGGATAGGCGGCACATTCTCTCAGTCAGTGTGTGTTAGAGTGGAGATGACGAAAGACACTTCATCCTCTACATCCACAGTCATTTCCCACAGACTCAACTCTAAACTAAGTGCAGGGAATATTAGGATTCCGCTGCAGCAGCCTAGTCAAAGACGGCTCCTCGAATTAACAAGCTTTAGAATTTAACAGCTTTCATTCTGCCAGATTTATAATGTTAAACCAGATTGAAAGTCATTTCAAATGGCCGATGTGTTCCTTAGTCTTAGTTTCTACTTCACTGTTGAACCATATATGGTTTTAAAGAAAATAAAAATGATTAACTTATTTATACCAACCAACAGTTATATTGTGCTGTGCAGTGTATGACTGCCACCTACTGTAGCCTAGATTATTCCTTACTCTTGCAAAACACGGTTCAAAAAGAGAGAAAATAGGGACAGAGGGCAGAGTCTCTGCCAAGTCACAACAGAATAGGCTTCTTGTGTATTTTTTTTTAAACCTGCATAAACTCATAAGTCTCTTTTTATGAGCAAAACGCATCCATTAACATGTGAAAAAGTCAGTTCTAGCATCATCGTCAAGAATATTGAGAGTAATTTAGTCGTTAACTAAAGTACTGGTCAGATCCAGTTCTGTCAAACCTCAGTCCACTCACTGCGTCTGAGTGATGTCATCATGTTGACGCACTAAACTGACAAGTGAGAATTCGCAAACAAAGCTTGACTGTTCACCAATTAGCCTTTGACTCTGTGTGGATGATGTGACCACCTTGCAGATCATTAGCCTGCAGCTACAGGTAGAGGGCACTGCAGAGACTAGACAGGATCAACACTTGAACTAATGGAAATCAAAAGTGTGCCTTGAGTCCCTGTCAATACAGCCTTGAGTTAGAAAAAGCTGCAGTCTGAGCTCCAGTGCAGTCTGTGAAGACTTTAGCACTTTAGGTTCACGAGCTAACTCTCAGGACGTCACCAACACCAGAGGCCCACACCAGGATCAGTTTGTCCACTTACATGGACCACTTGAGCTCAGTTAGGGAAAGTCTAGGTTGCTTATTTATTTTAACATTAACATTGACGCCCCTTCAGCAGAGAGTTACCCTGATCGCCGACCAAATATCCAGCTAATATCTAGCTAATCAAGCTAAGATCCCAGATCAGAGCTGATGTCACCCTTAGGCTAGTTATTTTTTGTGCTATAGAAATTTAATTATTACAACAAAACACTGTCGTTATAGTTGCGGTTTTAGCTTCAGTAAACGTGCCCTAAGCAATTAGCATATTCTGGTTCTGCTCTCCAAACTATAGAACATTCAGGAATACAACTGTCAACTATAGAGAAACAGTAAAAATAAATATAACGTTGCTTTTTTTTAAAAAACAGAGAGCGAAAAAAGCTAGTCTAAAAACTTTACATTTTGTTTTGAATGACAATGAAATTGATTTAAATGGCACCAAAAACACTTAGAGCCTTCTGTCAAGGCTGAGCTAAGCTAATCCTGCTAACCTCTCCCACCATCTTTTTTTAACCTAGGTTTTAACTGACAAACTGTTTTATATATTTTTATAGTACCATTACCCAGCAGTTTAGAAAAATGTAGTTAAGGGACATAAAAACATATTTGACCTTGGGTCAACCAAAATTTTTCTTTAGCCGCCATATTTAAACTCCATGCGCAGTGATAAAGTCGTTAACTTTAAAAATTTAAATCTGACTTCCCGTCGAGAGCAGAGATCTGCATGCAGGGTGAGAGAAAAAGAAAATCTTTAGTGGAACCGTTGTGTCCTTTAACGTGTCGGTACAGTGATGATAAGTTATGATTGTGGTGCCTGAGGTATTGAGTTATAAAAGAAAAAAAAAGAAAAGAAAAATGAATACCTTAATATATTCTGTCCTGCCTTGTCTTTTTAAACATATGCAAACCAAACTTTTCAACCAGGACAAGGCGGTGAAATCCTGTCTGTAGATGATAAATATACTGTTGTTATACATGTTGAAGAGAAAGGAAAAGTAAATATAAAGTAGAGGAACGCCTGAATGAGAATAAACGATATTATGGAATGAAACAGTGTTGTATGAGAAGAAGTACAGTTTCTACTTATTTTTGAGAGTATTTTATTGTCAGTTACATTTTAAAATTTTATGGTAGTGTTGTATCCATCTATGTTTTTGTTTTTTGTTTTTTTTTGTTACTGGTACAGAATTACTCAGCTTGTACTCACCTGACGTGTATTTCTGTTTCATGAACACAAACATCTACTCGGACCATACTGTTATCGGTACCCTGTACTTCTTATGTGTCACTTTTTAGGTATGAATTAAAAGGATTTTTTGTCAAATCTATGAAATACAACGCTATTACAGTGTCATATGTTCAGGTTTTTTATTTTAATTTTACTCACTTCCAGTGTTAGAGAAAAACAAACCCACTGTCATAAACCTACTGGACCAGGAGGTTAAAAGGGAAACATCAACTCTAAAATTAGCTTTTGGGAAATAATTTCTATAAAAATGCTCAAAAACACAATTAAAAAAAACAAACATTAAAAACAGTGGAAAAATCTCAGTTTCTTTTCCTCTTCCAGATTTGCTCACAGCTGATTAACATTGTCATCTAGAGAGAAAAAAAAATTAATGTATGTATATATATGTGTATATAGCTATAAAGTCTGTGTAAAAGCTAGTGTATATAGTGTAATAGAGAACTTACTCTCTGCACAGGGGGAGTTGTATTCAGTCGTTGCTTCGTCACCTGTAAATAAAAGCAAAATTAAAGATATGTTTGTTACACTCCTAGACACTTAAAATATATATATATATATACATACACACATATGTGTGTGTATATATATATACACACACATATGTATATATATATATATATATACACATATACACACACACACGTATATATGTATTTATATATGTATATAGCATAAAACAGTGAGGTTCTTACTTGTCTGGTAATAATCATAGATCTTGACCACAGCAGGTTTCAGGTTCCTCACAGGTATGTTCTCCTCTAATGTCACACTGTGGATCATATTCTGGTTCTTCTTCAGCTGTAAACACATTGTTTATATATATATATGGATAGTTAGAGACAAAATATTTTACTTTGAAATTCAAAGGGGCCTTTTGTTATATTATCTACATATTTTTATTTTATTGTTTGTTTTTTATTATAATTTGAGTATTTATTTTTTAAGGGCTAGTACACATTTTTTTTACGTTATTTTTTTTCTTCCAGTGTTAACCGTTTATTCTAAGTGGACACTGAAAAACAAACAAACAAAAAAAAAACTGGATAGAGTCAAACACAAAGACACGTCCTTACCCCGTCTAAGTAGATGTTGATGTATCCTTCCTCCACATCCACACGTTTTATCGAGCGATCGTTTCGCATCTGTAGGAACGCCGATTGGGATTAGGACGTGTTTGAACTCACATAGAAAAAAACAGTTGTGAGTTGTGAGGACTTAACATAGTCATGATGCCTTCCCTACCCAATTAGTCCGCACCCTAACTCTTACCAAATCCAGACTCTAAATTAGAGTTCACCAACTATATCTGTCAGAGGACCACACGGGTATTTTCTCTGTGATCCTCGTAATTTTGCAATCCAGTCGCGAGCTCATTGGACTGTTCGGAGGGCCGAATTAGGCCCACAGGCCGCCAAAATAACCTCTAGGTTAGAGGGTCTAGGTGACCCACAGATCATCTAGACCCGAAGGACCTTACAAGGGTTAAAAGAACAGGTCCCCACAATAAAATATTTTACCAACAGAATGTTCAAGTATAGGTAGACATAGATTCCACACACACAGTCTTGTGTGTGACATCAGCACTGACCAGACCCAGGGAGCTCTTCTCCAGGATGTAACCAGACAACAACTTGATGTTGATGATCACCATGTTGGTTTCGTCTCTACTGCCCTGGTACCTACACACACACACACACACAGATACAGGGTCAGTGTGACTGTGAATGACTGTGATCATCATCTGTCCCGTCTGTTAACATTTGCCTGACATCAACCTCTGATCTTTTCGAGCTTCGCTCTCGTTGTCTCATCTGTTCTGATACGCTCTGACAGTCGCAGCAGTTTGTGCTTCAACAGCTCATTAAGTTTTAATGATGAAAACTACAGCAGAACAGTGCTTCTGATATAAAGGGATGGAAATGGAAAAAACAGTGTTTGCAACTGGAGAAGTAAAAGGACACTTGGCTTAACACATCATTCCCCTCAGGGGATGACGATGCTGAATCTGTTTTCCTTATTGTTGTTGTTTGAATCAGGAAATCATTCTCAATTCCTAATTTTTCTTCTTATACCTAAATATACTTTAAAAATGCACTGAAGGCTGCTACAGAATTGAATGCTTCTTGACAACATGCAGTTTTTTATTTAATTTTTTTTTCCGAAAAAATGTTTTTTGAAAAAATATTTTTTTTGAATATTCTTTAGAAAAAATAATTTTAGAATTTTTTTTTGGGTGATTTTT